ATGAAATTTTTACAATATGTTCTAAAATTAAAAAAATAAAAAAAAATGGAAACAAAGAACTAAATCCTACAAAATAAAATTATGTGTGTATGTATACAACATTATGTTAAAGGCAAATGAATGCCGAGTTAAGTAGATATTGGTGTTCTTTTTTATAATCATTTTGGGAGGAGATTTTCCCGCAATACCTCTCCCGGCTTGGAATCTTTAGGAGGGGGCTTGGAATCTTTAGGAGGGGTAGAGCGTTCGGATTGGGAAGCTAGAATCAGAATCTGCATAAGGATACTGACTAAGACGAGGAAGACTACACAGAATGCCGCCTCTGTCCATGAGAATGGACACAATTCAAACAATTTCATGGCGCCATAGAAAATGAGGCATGACGAAGTACAAACAACCTTCAGCAGCCATGAGAAGAGAATTATAAACAGGAAAGGAAAAATGGGTGGTGTGTGCAGAAAGAAATACAGAATCAGATGAATAGCTCACCAACAAGGACTTCATATTTCTTCTGTTTGTGTGGAATTCGTTGTTGGCAAAACCACCAGTTGCAAGATGTTGCTCCAGCAAGGCATCCTTATTTTCCCAATGAAAGATCAAAGGGTTTCTTAACAAGTTGGAAATGGTGGATTTACCCAAAAACAAAAAGATAGTCGGATTGTGCCGAAAGGACGGTTATTCCTTTATTTTTTGTCCATAGCTGACTGGCTCAAACCAAGAAGGCTAGGCTGGGATTTGAACTCGTGACCTTGTGGTTACAAGTTTGTATCCTTAGTCAACTTGGTTGGGTTTATTCCTTTCTTTGATGCATGTTTCATGCGGTTCTACCTAATCCTTGATAAGTAAGTTCTATGAAAAAATGAAAAATTAACTTCAACCCACTCATATGGGAGTTATGATGAGAGTTTTGCATGTAGTTTCATGAAAAGTGTACCTTTGCCACAAAGATATCTTTACACCACTGTGAAATGTCACTTCCTTTTTCTGGTAAATCCTTCATCGGATAGCGCTCGATGTGAACATGCACCTAGAATCAGGAAAAAAAAAAAGGCCCTTAGATGAATCCGGTACTCATTGCCTACAACACTACATGTGCGTGCACAGACAAATTACCATTTTCAAAATCCAGAAAACTAAAATAAATATGTTGTCTTCTCAGTGATGTTTGAATCTTGATTTAATGAATTAGTCCTTTAGCTTTTTTAGAAAAAAGATGTGTTGTCTTACCACAGAAGAATGCCCTCTAAGCATTCTTAACATTGTAGGCGGCGGCTCTGTTTTTGGTATGGCCACTGTCATATTATAAATTGCAGGAACAAATGAGCGCAACTGATTAACTGCCAAAACGAAACCCTGAAAAGTGTACAAATGAGAAATATATAAACTGACCCGAAATTTATTTTCTAAATTTATACAAATAGACATATTGATGGTATATTCAGCAGTGTTCAGACAAGCACAATATGTTTCCTGTTTTGCTCATTGCCTAGACTGAGTTCGGAGTTGTGAATTGTAACTGCAACTCATTTTCTTGAATCTTAAAGATCTCTTTGTCTAATCAAAATATTTGAAATGAGTGGCATGTATACTATATTGCATGAAAAGAAGACATAAACTCACACACGTATATGCATCCAAAAACTGTGTTCAATTGATTTGTTTGTAGCACTTAAAAGTAATATGATGCAACCTTAGTTCGGGGAATCAGCACGTTCTTTGGGACATGCAATCCAGCCGATGCCGCATATTCTTGGGCTGCTTGAAGCTTTGCCTGCGTAAAGCGAGTCCCTTCTGGAAAAAGAGCCAACCAAAATGGTCGAGGAAAATTATTTAGCTCGTGGAAACCTGCCTGCAGCAGAAGATGAAAAGCTAAATAAATGTAAGGCGTGCAGTGCCTAGAAGTTGAACCACATAAATGAAGCAAAGGCAATGTGCAAGAGATAACCTTCAATGTGCTCTCATCCTTAGCCCAGCGCCTTTCAAGAATAATATAACTAGAAAACCACATTGACCATCCCAAAACCTGCATACATAATATACTCGAAATAATGTCTTACTAGACATTTATCCCATTTTGTTCTATGCATTTCTGAAATATCAGTCCATTTCATTATTATTTAGCTCAGTGGGATTGGATACTCATATCCTATGAAGAGGAATTAGAACATAATATGCAACAACAAAAAAAAAAGAGTCAATTTTAAGTTACTCTTTCTACTGCACATAATATAAACATGATATATTGACATCAACAAAACCAACATTTACCAGAGCAATTCTAAATATGTTCTAAATTCTAAAATGCCATGAAAGTGCTTGCAATGACATAAACTGGTAGTACGTAACGGTTAATATACTATGAAAAACTTACTGGTATATATGATAAAGTTTTCTTGATGACAGCTAGCGCATAACCAAGGCAACCTGCTCGCTGCCAATCATTTCAATTATCAGTCATATAATAATAGCAGAACCCATAATGATATACTAAAAATTCATATTAGGTAGTCGTAACATATTTCCCCATAACAATAGCACTAATTTCTCATGGCATTGCTACTAATGTAAGAAAACTTCAAATATAGATAAACTGACATAAGAAGCAGCAATTTTTTAGATAAAGATGACCTGAAGTTTAGAATCAAGACTACCTACAACCTTATAAACCATATTGTTAAAGGGTTAAAAAAAGGGCTTCACAAGGATAAGATATAAAGCAATCTTTTATGGAACAAATTTGCAAGAGCATTTTTTTCAAGATAATTAGATCATAAGCTAAAATTGAATTGCATCAATATCAGGTCACAGTTCAAAATAACATTTCTGCAAATTTCTTTCTTTGATCAACATAGGAATTCATTATAGTTCATGTATCGGCAAGAGCACACTTCCTCAACATATTTCTTATTTGCATTACTTATAAAAAAAAATTTAGAAAAAATCTTATTTCCATGAACTGACTGCATATGAAAATCAAGATGTTTAATGTCAAGAGCCTGTGAGATTTTCAAAATTATTATCAACAAAATTAGATCAATCTCATAGCACAATTTCACATCAAATTCAAATATTCCAACCTCCCTTTCCTCCCCTCTACTCAGCTATCTAGTGCCTTGGTTTTGCATGACTATCAAGATAAAAATATTTAATGGCAATGATATAAATTGCTGATAAAGAAAGAAAATAAGAAATTTGGAAGATGGGGAATTTTCAGCACGGAACATTGCAGCAAGTTTTTTCTTTCTTTCTTTCTTTTATTTTTATGAGATTATTGCATGATGATAGAAATTAAAAAAGAAATAATAAATTTAAGTGGATAAAAACCTGAGCTAGGACCCATCCGACAAGCCAATCAATATCACTTTTGTGGTTAGAAATAAAAAGTGCATGCTCTTTACCTGAAGTTAAATTAAGTTTATCAGCAAATGTAATTTAAAGAATATAGCTAGACAATTAAACAGAAGAACGTAATTAACTAGCTAGAGAATCTTACCCATTAATTTATAAGTTTCTGGGTCTATGTACAGCTGAATCTGCAATGGCGTAGACAGTTAACCACACTGTTAGTTCTGAACACACAAAAAAATAAACTCAAACAAAACAAAATAATGGAGGAATATAGTAAAAATTTTGGCGACTAAAATTTCTTCTTATTTCTCTTTGAGAATATATTGAACTCTGCCTAATGAAGTTCATAGGAGATACCCCATTGGTTCCACACAAACATGGTGTTCTTTTCTTTTCCTTTACTTTTCTTGATAATAGAAGAAGCTTTAGTAAAGAGGATGAAGAATTCCAACAAAATGTCAAGGCTCATTAGGTTCTCTGGCAGATTTAGTAGAAAATGAAGTAAAATTTGAACAAAAGAAATTATTGTTACAATTTTCTGTGATAAAAATATAATACAATTCCATAAATCATTTAATCTCGATTCTCGAGTAATGTGAAGAATTCTGGAAACTAAAATAAAGGCCACTGATCCAGACACCTTAATATTTGCCCACCAGTCGAATAGCCATACAGGCTGCAACCACAATATTTCTACAACTTCTTTGTTTATCCTTCTATATAAGTTCTTCGAAATTGGACGAACTAGGACAAAGACAACAGCCTGAAAGTGAAAATATTAAGAAATGCAATCAATACAAACCATTCTGTCATCAAAGTTGGCACAATCCAATAAATATTTTAGTAACCTTCTAAAGAAATGTTTAGCAGTCTCATTGTTCTCCAAAGTTTTACTCAACATTGGATTTATGGTACATAAACTAAAGTAGGGTGAAGTCATCCAATTCACGGATATTCCAAAATGGAAATAAAAGTGCACTTGTTAGCATTTCCTTTAAAAATAAAAATAAAAAAATCTTGAATGTCTCATAAACTAATTAAGGAATCACACTGAATGTGAAATATGCAACAATTTGAATCAGTTTCCATAGTGGAGGTTCAATTTGACAGAAAACATTGATTTTAGAGAATCAGTGGACTTCTCATATCCAGAGATTGTACAATTGCATAAATGGAAATAATGCTCTCTGCAATTTGTTCTCATAAAAGCATGAGCTTGGGCATAATGTTGATCCAACTTCCTATAATCTCATTACAACTGCAAAATACACACTTTTATAGTGTTTTTCTTAGAAAATTTCCCGTGATCATGATGAAATGCAAAAGTAACCAAAACAAATCATTCTAAAAAAGAAACAAGAAAGTGCAAACCAGATATTTAAAATACTCAAGTGACAAGGTAAAAAGGGATTTGCAGAAAAGGGGCACCTGAATGAAGTTGACAACAAGACCAAAGAGGAGGAAGAGTACACCGAGAGGAAGAATGACTGCGGCCGCGATCGCCATTGCAGAGAAGATCAACAAATTAAAGATTCGCCGGAAGAGAGAATTGAACAAGTTTATTATTATGCATGAATAGTTGCCAAAGAGACAAATTAAAGGCCAAGTTTTTGAAATTTGAACGGAAAAACTCAACTGCAAATACTCACTGCGCCAACGCCCTACGCCACACCTTCCGCTACAGGCTACGCTTTCTAATTCACTCTGAACCAACGTTTTCTCAATTTTTCAATGGTTTTCTTTTTCTTCTTTTTTTAATTTAATTTTAAAAGCGTTATTATTTATCCTGTACATTCTAATTTTCAATATTAAATTCATATCAATCTAGTGTTACCTGTTTAATTCAACTAGTATTTGCACCTGTGCGATGTACAAAATGTATTTATTGTACTATATTAAGAATATATAAATTGATATATAATTATTTAAATTAGAACATCAAATATTATATAGTGCAATTAAAGATATTGTTTGGATCGTTTATATATTTTGATGTTATCATTGGTTGAATTTGTGCAAATAATTGCTCAAATTAATAACTAATGTCTAGATGTATGCATGCGGTGCTATAATTTTGAATATTTTATTTATCATTGTTTAGTATTTTCATAAATTAGGCAAATATGCTCGTTCTTTAACAACTCAGTTATATAAATGAATTTCTATCCTTATTCATTTGTATGAAAGATATATTTTTTTGTCCAGATATATAATAATTTTTTCATTAAAAAAAAAACTTAATATCACCGATTATATTTACACATTATTGAAACCTATTTGTAGACGACATTGGTAGTGGCAACACAATCTTATTCATCTTCGTCTAGAGCTAACACCTTCAATCCATCAGGACGGGTTACTTGGGTGAAAATATATAATGGTAGAATATCACTCAATTAGTTATCCTTTTATATTTTCAGTCAATTAGTAATATCATATTCATTTTAGGCAATTATTCTTTTTTTATTTTCAGTTAATTAGTCAATTAGAATATTAAATGCGATATTTGTAACTAATTTTCGTTTCATTTTTAATTGATGATGTAGATATTATTATTGAAATATTTCCGTTTCATTTTTAATTTATGTTTACTGTTGTTTAAAATAGCATTTACTATTGATAATGTAAAATATTATTATTGAAATATTTTTCTCCAATTTTAATTTTTCATTCTATTTTTAATTAAAATGCAATGATCTTACTATTTCTTTTTATTTTAGTCAATTATGGATTTTTTTATTTGCAATCAATTTTTAATATTCATTTCCTTTTATATTTTTAGTCAATTAGTAATATTAGATTCATTTTTAGTCAATTATTCTTTTTTATTTTAAGTCAATTAGAATATAGAGTGATATTTTTACCTAATTTCGGTTCTATTTGAATTTGATGATGTTGAATATTATTAATGAAATATTTTCATTCAATTTTTAATGGGAAAATGACACTTTTTCCCCCTGAGTTATATACTTATAGCACTTTTCCCCCCTCAATTATTTAGGTAAGCACATTAGCCCATTCAATTATTCTAAAAGTGGTGATTTTTCCCCCTAATATATTAAATTGACATTTATACCCTTAAAATAAACATTTTATTTATTTTACTTCTCCAACAAATTATTGCGTATACGTAGGGATGACCACGATTCTGTTCGAACTGAATCGGACACTATAGCAATCGAATTAAAAGTTTCCGGTTATGATTCAGATCTAGAACCCAATATTTGGATTTCAATTTATTAAAATTATGAATCAAAGAAATTGGATCCTGAACCGTGAACCAGCGGTTCCGGACCCGATTCGCGATTTTGAACTGTTTTTATTTTAAAATTTTATTTTTATTTTAAAATAATCTAAATTCAAAAATAAATGTAATTTATTTTTTCAGTTCGGAACATGAACCGTTTGTTCCGGGATGTTAATAAACTCTAAATATCGAGTTTCGATTCTAAATTGTAATTGGAATATTTTGGTATAAGAGAAAATTTCAATTTTGGTCCACTGACTATTGGAGTTGTATTAATTGCAACACTTGACTTTAAAAAATGTAAATTTAGTACCTTGACTATGTAATTTCTATCAATTTTGGTCACGCCGGCCAAATTGCCGGCCAAATCCCACCGGAAAAAATTCTAATAGGTCAAATAAATAGGGTATTTTAGTCATTTTACTATCTTTTGTTTCTTCTCCGATCACTTCTCCCCATTTCCAGCTTCTCCGGTGAGATTTCTTGTTTTCTTTCCCTATTACTTCTCTCATCTTCTGCCTTTCTCCTCTGTAAAAAAAAAATGTCGACACCTAGCTGTAAACAAAACCCAATCGATATGAATTTTTGGAAAGGTGTGTAATCCATAAAATCTTTCAAGAATTGAGGAGACGTGGATAAATTCAGCGAAGAAACAGTTGAAAAGCAGGGCCATGGGTTATACAATGACATGAAAAGGAAAAGTAGCATATAGCCCTAAATATCAAAGAAAAAATCCAGTGTTTTCTGGATCAAATCTTGGAAAAAGCTAATCAGGCATCAGTATATGATCCAAACAAAACAAACCCATGTCGGTAAATATCTAGATCTATGGAACCCAGGTTAAATCCCATTAGCAAAGATGAAATGAACACAAATTCATTCTTTGATTGCACATATATGAAGAAGAAGAAGAAGAAGAAGAAGAAGAAGAAGAACCTTGCGATAAGTGGTGATGTCGGGCTCGACGGTCCAACCTGAGGACCTCGTTGTTGTCGCAGTGCTTAGGGAGATTGTAGTTCCCCTGAGCTCTCAGCCCAGCATATATCTTAGTAGCTATGGCTCTCCTCCTCCACTCTCTTCTCCGGTTTTGTTTATAGCTAGCTGTCGGCGTTTTTTTTTACAGAGGAGAAAGGTAGAATATGAGAGAAGTAATAGGGAAAGAAAACAAGAAAGCTCATCGGAGAAGCCGGAAATGGGGAGAAGCCGATCGGAGAAGAAACAAAAGATAGTAAAATGACTAAAATACCCTCATTATTTGACCTATTAAATTTTTCCGGTGAGATTTGGCCGGCAATTTGGCCGGCGTGACCAAAATTGATAGAAATTACATAGTCAAAGTACTAAATTAATATTTTTGAAAGTCAAGTGTTGCAATTAACACAACTCCAATAGTCAATGGACCAAAATTGAAATTTTCTCTTTGGTTTGGCTGCTATAGTGTTTATTTGGTTTGAATCAAATTATGGTCATAATTTGTTGGAGAAGAAAAATAAATAAAATATTTATTTAAGGGTAAATATGTCCATTTAACATTTTAGGAGGAAAAACAGCCACTTGAATAATTGAGGGGGGAAAAGTGCTATAAGTATATAACTCAGGGGGAAAAAGTGCTATTTTCCCATTTTTAATTTACCTTACTATTTTTTTTAAATATGCTTTTACCATTTGATTATGTAAAATATTATTATTGAAATATTTCCTTTCCATTTTCCTTTTACTTCTAAAAAAAAAAAAAAAAGAAAAAAAAAAAAGAGACAAAGATACTTTGAACTTCTCAATACTTGTCCCAAATACTGTCTACTAAACTATTGAGCTAAGCTCGTGCGGGTAAACTTCTCAATATATACTTGCCCACATTGATGGACAAGCAATTATGTTTATAAGAGAGCATTGCTCCTCTTATATAGAGGAGCTCTTGAGTTCCTCTTTCCAAACATTTTCGATGTGAGATCAAAATGATCCACATCATTTACAAAGGGATCGGAGTCCGTGGCTCGCTTTTGTCTTTTTTTTTTTTTTTTTTTTTTAAATTTAAATTTTATTTTGTATATTGTTTTGTTTGGATTATTGTTGTTGTTGTTGTTGTTGTTGTTATTTGATATTTGATTATTGACAAATTCGCCAAAATTTTTACAAATTCGTCATTTTAACAATTTATCTTTAATCAAAATACCAAAAAATATTATTTAATAACTCATTAATTTGCTCCAAACGGCTAAAAACTAAAACAACACATAAATTTTGGGTTAATCTTTCTCAACCCCCACTAATAATAAATAAATAAATAAATAAATAAATAAACTAAAATAAGAAAACAAAGTTAAAGTTTCTTAAAATAAGAACCTTTTGACTTCTGAATACTTGCCACGTTGATGGGCAAACAAATATGTTTGTATCTCTTACAAAGAGGAGCTCAAAAGTCCATCTTTCCAAACCATTTCAATGTGGGATCAAAATGATCCAACATCATTTACAAAGGGAGTTCGTGGCTCCCTTTTGTCTTCTTCTTATTATTTTTAATTTTAATTAGTATGTCACCCGTGCGATGCACGGACTAAAAATTAGAAATATTGTATTTATGTTAAGAAATTGTTAATAATTCTTAGTCTTATTATAATTGAAGTATAAATATTTTTTGAAAAACGCATGCATTGCAAGATGTAAAATTAGTATTACATAAATACAGAATAATATTAAAAATAGGATATGACATTGAAAATTCAAAAATATTACAAATTATTGAAAATTTATTTGTAAACTACATTTTGTGTAGTAACCTAAGAGTTTGTCAATGATTGAGTATATTATTCTTAATATAATTAGAATTAGACTTATTATTTCTAGTATATTAGAATTGGGTTTTATTATGTAACTAAGACTCCCAATATGAAGCAGTCTAAAATTCTTATTTCTTGTAGGGCTCTAGGTCCAAAATATGTATAAATAAACCCCTCACATAGAGGACGGAGGACAACTTTTTAGCGATTCACCAGCAATACTCTTCAATACAAAGTTCCTACGGTAGTGTTGGCCTGTCGTTGACGAATCAAAAATCATAAAACCAACAAAGAAGTAATTACAAATTTGTAATTATATTTGGTAAATTGTAGTATTTATATTTATGCTTTTTGTAAATTTTGTAATGCTATACAATTTAATGATTTCTATTCTACATTAATTGATTGTATGTTTTTATTGAGATGTGTATTATCAATTAAATTAAATATTTATATTATAAAATTAATAATATTCATCCCGTGTATCATATGGGACAATATCTAGTTGAGATAAATTATTATTTATTAATCATGGACCATTTCGGCTCCAATTTATTTATTAAGTAGTAATCAATTAATTTTTGTAAATTTCCTTTTGTCTCATTTTTATCGGACCTTTTTGAATCTTTTGAATGTTTATGTCATTTATAGA